GTACCTCATGTACATCTTGCGGGTGCCGGGGGGTGGGTAGTACCTGTACCACAAGCACTGGTGTTAAGTCATGTACCTCATGTACAGCTTGCATGCGCCGGGGGTGGGACTGCTTTTGATGTTCCCACTTTTTCGACATGTAAATTGATATTAGTGTTCGTTAAATTTAACTTTATGTCACATTTACTGGTCATTTGCAGGAAACATTAAGCGGAAAGTCGAACCTGCTCATGCAAACACCGTTAAGTGGTATAAAATAAGGAGACTCAAGGTGCATTAGGGTGATAGCGTGAGTCGCTTTCATGATAAGACAAGAATAATCCAAGAAGGGTAGGACCATGGACTGGTCTTGATCTCAAAGATATAACGGATACAGTCTTTAGGAGCATAATCGAATATATTTTTCATAGTAGGAATATTTTTTGAAAAACAACTATTCGAAGAACAAACTAAGGAGTACCTTTGGAAAAAAATATTCGCTCCGAGCGGTTACTAGATTTAAACCCATCATCCTATAGACAATACTACAGGGTTCTGATGCACACCTGGTTCCTGAGCCGTCAACTTTGTGTAGAAGGTGCTGGTCGAGGCAGGAGTTGAGAACAGGACGTTTCGGGTTGTTATTGGGACACAACCTGAACTCAAAGAAGCCCTGGTGGTTGGCGGTGAGTTCGACACCAAGTTCCACCTCTGCTCCCTCCTTATACGTGGCCGTGATCACCCCAGTCCCGTACTTGCCGCCCTCTTCGTTGTCGCGAGGCTGCACGTCAAGTAGGGTAAGTAGATGTCAACAGAAGAGCATGTTCCCTACACTCTCTTAATCACGAGGCTTAACAATCAATAAATTATCGTTATGATCATCTATGATCAAATGGTCGTGTAAAAAATTCAAACCATTTACCGATGGACTCACGAATTCATCAAGCAAGATTCGTCAACCAAATTCAGCAGTTTGTGTAATGAAGTGAAAGTGCCTGCGCAAGATTTTCAGCCTGTACCATCACCAAGCAAGCGTCACAGGAAGGTTGTCATCAAGCGTACAATGACGTGTGGTGGTAGCACAGGAGCGAGACCTCAACACAAAAACTGGTTTCAATGAAGCGCGTAGCGAGAGCACAGCAGGATGTTGTTAGTTTCGCTTTCAGTCATAAAAATATCGTTGCTTTACTTTCTGAAGAGTATGGATGCGCTACTCAGAGTCCCATGGTTAATACCTACTTCAAAAATGTGATTTAATAAAAAATTTTTAAGTTACTTTCAGGTATTTTGAGAATGTTTGCGGACTAATTGGTGCAATCTTCTATTGAGCATTGTTGCCAAAAGAGGTTTTAAGCCATTATTATTTTCCGAAGTAACCATGAAGAACTAGTGT